CTGCAGCAGCATTTACGCATCTGTGTTCATACAGCTGTAGCAACACGTAGTCTAGAGCATGTAATCGCACTGAGGACACGCCGATAGTTAAGGCCACGAGAACAAGTTTAAATGAAACAAGCATTCTCGTGTATGCGTTTCAACTGGGGTGCGCATGTTACACTTAAATATCATTAAGTACATTAATGATATCTGCCTTGTTCTGTTCTGTTAACCCTAGGGGGGTTATTATTGCTGCTCTCCCTGCTCATTCATGACAGGGCAGGGAGGTTTTTGCCCAGAACAGAACCATACCGCCAAACCAAACTTTATGCTAAGTATCTATCATTTTGACGATAGTGGTCCTGACAGAACTGTTAACAAGCTCCCAGGGATTAGATTTTGGTTCTCATTTATTGAAATAAATATAAAAAATCCAGTGTGTTCGTGTCTGTACGCAGTCAAAATACGCTGGAGCACGGGCACGAGGAAATGAGGAGACGTAGAGATTTTACAGAACGAGAGTCTTTTAATGACCCAATAGGGAGACACAGAGCACAAGGATGACGTTCACAACAAGTAGACCCGACAGAGGAGAAATGCACAGACAAGAACTTATAAACACAGGACAATTACCAAACACAGGTGCAGAGAATGACTAATTAACTAAATGAGGACAGGAACATGACCAAATAAGGGAACACAGGAATAGAAACGGGGTCAAAACATAACAAAACAGGTTCATGATCCTGACATATCGCCCCCCTCCCGGGAAGGTACGGGTGAGAACTTGGGAGGCGGCTCAGGAGGAGGACGGACACCCGTGAGGGGGCCGGCAGACAGAGACCGGGGAGGTGACGATGGAGGAAGGAGCCAGGGAGGAAACAGGAGGAACTTGGAGCAGGAGGAGCCAAGCAGGACCCAGGCCACAGCCATGATGGTGACCCACGGTGGAGCCGACGGAGGGAGGAGCCACGGAGAAGGAATGGCTGCCGACTCCAGGGGGCCGACCAACGGCGGCGGACTAGCTGGCGGCGGAGCCCGAGGCGGAGACGGAGAGCCAACGAGCCAGGGGGATGCCGAGGACCCAGGGGGCCAGGGCGGAGCCGAGGGCTCTGGCGACCGAGGCGAGGCGGAGATCTGCGGTGGAGCCGGAACGACTGAGGGCCAAGGTGGAGCTGGCGGGAGGGAGGAGCCCAACGGAGCTGGAAACTGATGAGTTGATTTGAGTTATTATATGCTGTTGTTATAGAATTTTAAATGGATGCTGAAGCTTTTAGGCCAGGTAGAATCTGAGATCTCTGATCCGTTCATTGCTCGCTTCTATGGCTGCAGTACGCTATGTTTGCTGCAAACTAGGCTGCCAATTCTAGTGGGTTTTCTGCAGAGTCCTGAGGCGATGGCGGGTCGATGCCCGACCAAGGCGGAGCCGGAGGGACGAGGGAGCCTGGTGGAGCTGGTGGATCGACGGGTGACAGTGGAGGTGAGGGAGCTAGGAGCCGAGGTGTAGCCGCTGGGTCTACGGGCCGAGGCGGAGTCCGGGCCTCGGAGGCTGGAGGCGGAGGTGAGGGCTGCTCCAGCCACGGCGACGATGGAGGATGGCAGACCCGCGGCACTCCCACTGTATTGATGGTGGGCTGAGGGCGAGCAGAGGGGCTGCCAGACGACAGCGGTGGAGGATGCAGGGGCAGGTGGGTGGGTGGACATTCGTGAGCCTCTAGGTTCTCAGGGCTGCCCTCTAGGATCAGAGCCCACTCCTGGCTGGACTGGGAAACGGGAGCCCCCTCAGGGCTGGACGGAACCAGTGGAGACGAAGGAGAGAGGAAAGGGGGCAGTCTGCATCTGTTTCCCAGTCTATCAGGTCCCCTTCTAAGTCTAGCAGTCCCAGATGTATAATTAGCTCACCCTCAGCCATGGAGCAGTGGGCGGAGCTCCACTCCACACTCTCACCGTCCATGGCTTGCTTCCTCGCGGTGGGCACTGTCGCCGGCTCTCGCACCTGGTCTGACGGGTGGTGCTCCACATCCGGGGCGATCCTCTGCTCAGTCGCTCGGCATTGCGCTGGCTCGTAGATCGCGGCGGGAATTGTCTCTTCATCATCGGTGGGCTTGGGCTTTAACTCCGAACAGTGGGGAGATGGTGGGCTGGGCTCTGGGTCCGGAGTGGATCTGGCGAGATCATCCTCAGGAGT